TATTTAAGTGTGCAGTACGCACTTGAATGTAAGGAAAATTAAAATCCTCAAAACTGGCCAATGAAAAACATCATGTTAAATTGTGAAGACATTGAAGTTGTCAAAGATTTTATTCTACTTGGATCAACAATCAGCACCCATGGAGGCAAGTCAGGAAATCAAAGGACATTGTGCATTGGAAAAATCTGATGCAAAAGACCTCTTTAAAGTTTTAAAAAGCAAAAATGTCACTTTAATGACTAAGGTGTGCCTGTCCTAAACCATAATCTTTTCAGTCACCCCATATGCATGCAGAAACTGGACAATGAAAAAGGAAGAAAGAAGAAGAATTGATGCATTCAATTTTGATGTAGCAAATAATATTGCATAAATCTTGGAATAACTGAGAAACAAACAAGTCATTCTTAGAAGAAATACAACTAGAATGCACCTTAGGAGTGAGGATGGTGAGACTTCAGCTTGCTTACTTTAGACACATCATCAGGAAGGACCAATTGATAGAAAAGGACATCATATGTGGTAGAGAGTCAATGAAAACGAGTGAAACTCTCTGTGAGATGGATTGATGCAGTTGCTACAACAGTGGACTCAAACATGCCTGCTGTTGTTGTACGTAAGGTCACCATTAGTTGAGGCCGACTCCATGGCAACTGACACCAACATTCTGCAGACCTACAGAACCAGAAACTCTGGGAATGGAGCCCAGCACTCTGGGTTTTAACAAATCATCCTAGTGATTCTGGTGCCTTTTAAAAGTTTGAGAACCACTCTTGTTTCTAATTTGGTAGGTCTGGGTGGAGGCCTCAGAATTTAAATTTCTAATAAGTTCCTGGGTGATACTGTTGCTCTTAAATGCACCATACTTTGAGAACTGTTATGAAAGAAGCTTCATCTTTCTCATCCTCCCTATAAGCATCATTCCATTCACTGGCCCTTCCTCTAATGTGTTTTCTTGGCTAATGACCAAGAGATTGGATCTGAGTCCTGGAACAGCTGTGACATTTTTGTTACCTGTCTGTCTCTCTTGCACTCTCATTTTTATTCCTCCATAAACAGGACTCTCCATTTCTAAGCCCAACATGATCTTCTTACTGGAGCAAGGGAAGGGACCTTGGATGTTGGAGAGAGAGATGTCAGATGGTCATTGTACAGGTGAGTGATGGAGAACTGGGAAGGGAGGGTTGTTGGAAGGTGCTAGACCAGGTAGTCATGCAGAGGTAGCCCTAGGCTTCAGGAGGCTACCTTGGGCTAAGAGAAGGAAATGAAATCTCTTTAGCATGAGCTTTCTCAAAACTTTATACCCTTGGGTTTTGTCTTCCTATTTTTATCAATTTATATTATCTAGAATTCTAACTATACCCTGAATTTCAGTCCATCCCAACTCTTCTTTTCCCTTTATGGTCAGAACTTTATGCATTTATAGATTTCTTTTTAGAGGTTGAATTTTCATCAGTTGTTATCAGAATTATGCATACACTTTGTGCAATGATGCTGTCCTTGCTAACTGAACTATTGAAGAGAAAA